AAAAGCATGAAATCAGCCCATCCATTATTATTTCTCATGCCATAAATTTGACCAAGTCATGAATTTTTGGTATCCTTTAATTACTACGTCTTTGCAGTATTTGCTGACTTATGGATAAACATTAATATAAAATTTCAGGCATCCATTTTCCATAACTTCGGCCCCAGGAGATGACTATCTCAGTGTCCATATTAGAACTCTTGGTGATTGGACCAGACAACTTAAAACTGTTTTCTCTGAGGTAATTACTAATTACTCCTAATTAGTCCTTTTAAAAATAATTATATATTATTTAAAACTTAAATACTTAAACCAAAATATCTAGTTAATTAAATAGTGGAGGAATGATTGTCCCACTTTGGATGACAGCTTTAAAAGCCGCCTCTTATATTTTACTTTGTCGTTTTTTCCCAAAAAGTAAATGTTAATTCCACTATGTTAGTGTTAAATGTTAATTATTGATCTTCCTGAATTAATTATTAGTAATTTTTGGTCTTTGTTAGGTTTGCCAGCCACCACCTAATGGGAAAAGTGGACTCCTTCGAGCTGACTACTTGCAAGGAGAGAATAATCCTGAGTAAGTCCTTTTCTATTCTATAAAATCATCTCCAATTCTCCATTACATTCACCTTTTTGAGCACACTGAATTGCAGAATTAAACTAAAAAATTTCCCACCTTAATATCCGGGGATATTATTTTTATAATACAAACTTTTTGATAATTTAATACTTTAAATGTAATTAGTTTAGACCTTAAAGTGATCGTGATTGGTCTGGACTGGTACGTATAACAAACTCGTAGTCACTTTATCCTAAAGAATCTATACACGTTTTGAATGGACCACTTCTTAAAGTACTACAGGGTTATTATTTTGTGAAATTACCGGGATAGGGACAAGGAGGGATAAAACAAAACTCAATTATTGCTTGATATTTCTAAGGAAAAAAAAAAAGGAACCATTGCTTGCAAGATATTTTTCTAGTAAAGGATTAATTTTACATATATCTACAATTTTTAATATGCTATAGAAGGTTACTTGTTTTATTTCTCAAATTATAAATTTTTATGATTATACATAATTACTTGGAATTGCATGAAATAACATTTGTGAAGAGTCTGAATAACTTCGGTAAAAATTCATATACCTTGTCTTGTGGGGAAAAGATAAACTCTACCATAAAAACTTAATTATATAGCATAGCTAATGGAAAGGATATGTGTTTGGCAGTTTCCCAAGAGTGTTAATAGATGGACCATACGGAGCACCAGCACAAGACTACAAGCAATATGAGGTGGTTTTATTGGTGGGTCTTGGAATTGGAGCCACACCAATGATCAGTATCGTTAAAGATATTGTCAACAACATGAAGGCCATGGACGAAGAAGAAAATTCCTTGGAAAATGGGAACGGGATGCCAAATGCAGCACAAAATGCTAGTCCCAATATGGCACAGAAGAGGGGTTCAGCAAGTGGAAGAAATAGCTTCAATACAAGGAGGGCATATTTCTATTGGGTCACAAGAGAACAAGGTTCATTTGACTGGTTCAAAGGTATAATGAATGAAGCTGCTGAAATGGATCATAAGGGAGTAATTGAAATGCACAATTATTGTACAAGTGTTTATGAAGAAGGTGATGCTCGTTCTGCTCTTATTACTATGCTTCAGTCACTTCATCATGCCAAAAATGGTGTAGACATTGTTTCTGGCACGAGAGTTAAGTCACACTTTGCTAAGCCTAATTGGAGAAACGTCTACAAACGCATTGCTCTCAACCACCCAGAGGCTAAAGTTGGTAAGTACTACTATTAATCAATCTTCGTTCTTTTGACTTTGGTGTCTTTATGTCCTTGTGAGAGTTGAAAAAGCATGTTCAATTGATAAGTTTTTCTTTGTGAAAGCAATTGGCACTAGGGTCATTTTCAAATCCATTTCATGACATATATTGTCGATGGCTAACTCGTTTTCCCTTTTTTGACGATTTGCAGGAGTGTTCTACTGTGGGGCACCGGCACTGACGAAAGAGCTAAAACAACACGCATTGGATTTTTCACACAAGACATCCACCAAGTTTGATTTCCATAAAGAAAATTTTTGATCAACAAATGGACCATTAAACAGACCATCAAAGAATTCGTCAAAACTGCCACGGACACTAGTTGTTTTTCTAGAATCCACTACCTCTCCCTATTATGTACAGATAATGTTGCATACCAAGTTGATATATATTAATTGTGGTTGTAATATTAGTATATTACAAAATATAAGATTTTTTTAAAGTATATAGATAAGATGCTGAAGGAATTAAGAATGTTCTCTTGGAGAGACAGGCAGAAGATAGTGGAGTTGAACCTGTTTTTATGGGTGCCACCCACCACTAAATTGGATTTTACATTATAATTGCATAGATGAAGGTGGTTGTCATCATTGTTTTTTGTTATTGTTTATTTTTTGTACTCTTTTAGGTGGTGGAAGAGAGAGTCAACTAGCCACCTACTTAGTAATTATTGACCATTATATGTGGATGTTTAATAGTTTCCAGTAATAATTGTATACTAGGCCTTCTTGTATAAAAAAGAGTTATATAGTTTGAATACCAAACTTAATTGCTATAAGATTATTCTTTTTAGTGGCACGTTGATGACAAAATGTTATTATCTACCCCCAAAATAAAATTTTGAAAAATGCAGTGATAATATGGATCTTAAGAATTGCTTGGTTTGCTTTAAAAAAAGTTAGAACCCCAATACTAAGGAGACCGTCTTATTTAATTTGCTTCAATGATAAATGGTACATAAACTATACGAGAAGTGAAAAGATTCGTAAAAAGAAGTAATCCGATTATTCTTGCACAAAAACAGTATCTCATATGTTTCACTATACCGCTAAGAGGGAAAATGGGGTTTTGGCGTGGGGATGAGGGATAAACCTGAATGCAGACAGTACCCAATAAGTTTCACAAAGTTGAGTCCTCAATACTTTTAAACTATAAGATATTAGAAATGGAAATATCTTTTTGGCCAGAAAATTTGGCCAGAATGATAGTTTTCCTATGTTATTTTAACTTTTAAAACATTTTTACCTTTTTAACTTAAATACATTTTAACTAAAATATAGAAAAAAGATCAATTTGTTTTAAAATAAAAAAATATTAATTTTTTTAATTTTCTGGCCATTTAGCACTTCCATTAGAAATATTAAACACAGCAAGAAAAAAAATCATAAATTGATCTTTGATCCAACTACCATATATTGACAATGAAAGCAAAATTACAAGATAACGGCGAGAACAATAATATTATACTCCCTCCATTCCATATTAATTGAATTTTTGAGGCATTTTCCATTTTCCAAATTAACTTAATTGTTCAATCTTCAAGACTATTTTTTAAATATTCTTCCAATTTTACTCAATGTGATGACTTCAATAAATTTGACAATAACAAGGGTAAAAATGGAAAACTATGTTTAATTTATGTCTTAATCTACTTTTCTTAAAGGATATGAAACACCTCAAAAATTCAATTAATATGGAATGGAGGGAGTAACATGACAACAACAACAGAAGACAATGACAAAAATTACTGTAAGTACAGAATATGAAGCATGATACTTAAATTGTTTTACACTAGTGATACACAAAACATTACACTATTTTTTTTTGAAATTGTAGCATAAAGAACTTTTCTATCACACTAGCCAATAATGTGGTGCAGTAATGATTTGATTGCTTCCCTAAAAGAATATTGAAGCATTGTGCGCTAACTCGGAGTCAACAAAATTCAACCGGAGGACACGCCGGTTAGTTGTTCGATTTAAGATTAAAATTGTAAATTTGAATATAGTATGATTCTTAAGAGAGTATATTTAAATTTGAATGCTAACTTATTAAAATTATTTTTCTTTTACTACATTAAATTGTGTATAATTAAATGCACTCAGTGTTGTCCCATAATCATATACGAAAACGTAATTGGTCATGGGACAGATGGAAGTAAACGGACATTGATAGTGCTTCAACTTGACCTCTAATTTAATTATTTATTTATGACTAAAGAAGTTTAAAAAGAGTGTATATTATCATTAAACCCCGCCACTAGCACAAAGATATACTGGTGAATATAGCGGTACTCCATCCACTAACTTCAAATCATAGATTAGTTGGTCTTTTGACGTCCCACAATATAGAAGCTAAAAGATGGGATACAGGCAGGCTAATAGTAACTTTTCACACACAACCGGTTTGGTGCCGACGGGCACACAAATACAGAAAAGAATAAATTGTAATTTCGAAGGACTTGTGTTTTCTACAGCACCACTAAGAATTTCCTGCATTGATGAGCAAAACTCAATAACTGATTATTTATTTATTTGATGGGTGCGAGTGGGCCAAAAGACTATTTTGATGCACCAGGAAAAGGAATCAAGACTGACCAAAAGTCCAAAACTGAAGAAAAGGAAAAAAAAACTGAAGAGTATGGTGAAAGCTTGCAAACTAGCTAAAAACCATATTTCCACCTAATATTTGAGGAAATAATGCATCACTCTTCATGAAGTAAAAAAGACGAATAAAGAACTCACTAACAAGTCTTTTGGCTTTCTAGTCTAGTCTATCAGAAAAGTCTCTTTACCTCAAGCAAGGAAAGGTAAGGTCCACGTACATCCACCCTCCTCAAACCCCACTTATGAGATCACACTAGTGGGTATGTTGTTGTACTAACAAGTCTTTCTAGTCTCTCGAAGTGTACCTATCTAATCTCCTCCCTGAATGCTAGGTGGACGATGATACGTCAGTACGTCACTCTTCTTGAAGTTAGAAATATGGTTTGATGTACTCATTTTTCAAAATGTAAGGATGCATCAGAATTTAACTAATTGAACTTGTCGTTCCTGAGTTTGGTGTTTCCAGTTCATTTCCCCGGAACAAGTTCATTCTTTATAATGTGTCATTGTCAACTGTCAAAGATTAAGCTACAAAGACCTTTCCCCAGACAAATTCCTTAATCTTTGCTAAATTGTAGCATATATAGTTCAAAGCTCTTCATTTCAAAATCTATTAAGGCACATCACAAGGTATGGTGGTAATCATGACCGTCCAGAATTGTTAATAGTTCAAGAATGTTAAGATTGAAGTAAAATGTAGAACATCTTATGCACATGATTAGTTATCTTATGAAAAGACAGCATGCTAGAGAATTAGAGATGCCAAAACAACATAGAACGAGAAGACGGACCTCTGCATACTGAAAGCTTTCAGCTTGAAAAGGATTTTCCTAGTTATCTTTTCCTCTTTAGCCTCTGAAAGTTTGGTTTTATGGGCTGGCTCAAAACAATTACCTGACTGTCAGGATTACTGGGTCCAAAGGGGATCAAAGGCTTCTTTACTGAAGAGATTGACACTGTATGGAAAGTTGACAACGTAGGGGAAGCTGCTTTTCTTTTCAGCTGCTTTGGTATCTCCAGTCTTTCAAGGATTCGTGAAGTTTTGTCATCAAGTTTCCCAGTACTTAGAAGGGGAGATGAAACCTCCTTATGCAACTTCAGCTTGGAGATACAAGTGGGAGAAGACATCTTTGGCATCTCTAATACAACCAGCTGTTCCCATTCTTCTGTAATTTTAGCACCAGTTTTACCATCAGCCAAAATGCTATCCAGCACGTTTTCTTCTATAACCTCCACATCGTTGGCTTGTACTGATAAATCCTCTACCACAGGGTCTTGCAGAGCTGTGTTTGATGCAGTCACCTGTTCTTTAGCCTTAGCAGGTATTGCCCTGAGACAACCTAACTATTAAGATGAAGGTCCATGACCAACCAATGAAAATATCGAAAAGAAGCAATTGACTCAATGCCTACATAATGCTGATGTACACGTGATCATCATGGATGGTGATTAGCAGATGGTGATCAGACTGCTAAGGCTAAAGCTCAGAAGCTAAACTTGTTATAAGAGTTCAAATGAAATTTGCTGCGGATCTTACTAAAAGCAAATAGCTCCTGATCAAAGTAGCTGACTTCTTCCATCTCCTAACACAAACTAATAAGATAGGATAGTTCTTTGCGAAGAATTAGTATGGGCTATAGTTTACCCAGATCAGAAGAGTGTAATTAAGGTTAAGGGCTTGAGAAGATGCTAGTTGAACAAATTAGCTACACTGATGCCCTATCAATAACTAAAAAAGGCAACAAGCTCCTAGAACTCAAATGGATGCTGTGAAGTAATCAACAGTACCGTCAGCAACTTAGGGCAGCTCTCAATAGACCACCAGAAAATTTTCAGGTCTATTATTGGCAGAAGATGAAAAGGAATGAACTTCAAGAAACAGTCAATGCATATATTGTAAGGCTGACCTGTGAACTATACTGAAAGAACTCTACAGGAGAGAAAAAAAAAAAGTTACCCAAATTGTAGGCTCTCTTTGACAAGCAAGTTTAGTCTTTGATGGAAGCCCCTGTCGTGCTGAACTGGATCGTAATTTCTTAATTCGATCTGGAATATAATAACAAAGAGCATCAAATTAAACTGGAAATGTACCAAAATGACTTTCCTCTATGCACCAAGGAAGCACACTCAGCCGTTTCTTTATACCTAGCAAAGTGCAAACACATTAGAGATAGAGCTACATTATCATTAATGACGAGAATGTGAAACAGCAAATACTTCAGAGAAATAAAATGAGATCCAGTTAATGGCGCTTGATGTATTTATAGATGGATGCTACTTCATCTTTGATCTCATGAATGCATGTAATTTGGCATTGCTCCCAGTAACAAATGAAGAGGCATCGGTAGAATCAACAAAAAGTATAGGAATAGAATATCCCTAATGAAACAGACCTTAAGCAAAGAGGCTTGCAGAGAATTTTCAATATCCTTGCTGACTGGGATGCAAGCAATATTAGTGATGTCAGGAACAGGCAAGACCTCCTCTGATCCAGCAAGCCTCTGCAAATAATTATGCAGTGACATCACAAAATAAAGAGTAGAGAACCATCTAGTAGGATAGCTGGACATATTAAGACAAAAATAATCCAGAGATCGTTGGAACAAAGTAATATTCCCACTGCAGATTATAACGATGGTGACACATTGGACTTCAGTACAACAACAAATCTAGAAGGCAGAGAGGCTTTTCCGATAGACATTGGATTTCAGTGTCAAACAGAAAACACTAGGATATTAAACGAAAGAAATATCATCATCAACAAATAACAACAACAATAACTAATTGCATGTTCTCCTTGGTGGCATATTGCAAGTTAAACCTAGTAAGAGTTATCAGTCACATGATTTTATTTTATTTTATTTTAAATGAGAAGGAAAGAAAGCACTAATGCTTGATCAAAATGAAGAGAAACAGAAGGGAAAATCAGAAGTTGTTAAAGGGACTGTGGACTTACTCTTAGAATCATCACTCCTTTCTCTGAAGGTAAAAGAATATAATAGCACAGGAAGGAAGTTTGCTTTGCTGTTTCTATATTACAATTTGATGAGCAAACTAAACCCTGGTCAAGGGAATGCAGTATACCACACAGCACTCGAAAAACTGCCAAATCACAAAGTCAGATCAAGATCTCTTCATGATGGAGTATTCAGAGTTTAATCTCAACGACTGTGTAACAGAACATTTTATAAGCTGGACAAGTTTATATAATATATATGGAAATACATTGCAAGAAATAATGGTAGGCCTTCTGCTTACGTTTAACATTTAGCTCTGATATATCAGTATCATCCAACTCAGAGAAGGCTGGGGTAACAATGTAGGAAGCACCTAAAATAATCCCTGTCAAGTAACAAAAGCTGATATTGAGTGTAGATCACCAATGATCAGTAAAGGTAACAAATGCATGTTCAAATTAGGTGCCAACTGATGAATCATATGCACCATGAGAATCTCCAAGTGAGGTAATGAATGCAAAGATAGGGTCTTGTTAGGACTTTGAATTCTCATAACTAATATAGTTTCAACTGGAACTAGACATGAACAATCGAAATTCTTAACATTGGCATCAAAGTCATAAACTAGATCAATCATATATAATCATCTGGGAAATAGCATATCTTGTATTATTTAATTTTTAGTATGCAAATTTTAAAAGAGGATGCTTTTTATTCTCATCCAAACTTACCTTCATCAAGTGAGCTCAAGTTAGTTCTTTCAATAACATTGAAGTTAATTGGTAAAGGAACTTTCTGAAGGTCCTGGCAACATTGAAAAGAGGGCATATAGAGGATTGTATGTTCTCCTATCTTCACCGAGCTATCAACCAAATCCAGTACTCCAAGCTCAACACCAGTTACTGGACAAGAAGACATATCGGTCGGGATTGTTCTTGAGGTGTCAAATGGAATGCCATGACACCTGCATGACTGTCAAAGGAGTGATAACTCTTAGAAATTTCACCTGAAACTTACCGCTAACTACAAGAAAATAAATGATGTATACTCCTGCACACCCAGGGGAGGTAAAAGAGGGTTTTCTGATGCAATTAATGGCAGGGATATCAATAACATTCAAAAGGTGGGGGTAAGGTCTGCGTACACCCCACTCTCCCCAGACCCTGTGAGATCACAATAGTATGTCGTTGCTGTTGTATCTCATGGTTAAAATCATAGAATCTAAAATAGCAAATGTTTTCTAACCAACTCATTAGGCCATCACAGAACAGATAAGTAGTTTAAATACATCATAAAACAAATCCAAAACTTAACAATTACCAATCAGTTAAAGAATGTAACCTTTTATTTTATAAGAACCAGTTAAAGAATGTAAGTTAGCAGTAGGAAGAACGCTAAACAGAGAGAACACCACGATTTTACTGAAGAATCAATAGTTCTTATAATCCAGCTCATCAAGACTTTCACCTTTAAAATAAGAAGGCATTCTTATGACCTATTTAGAAATAAATCAATTGTTATGCATAATAGCCTAATGAACTTAATTTATACCTTACAAGGAACGAATTCATCAATTATCTGATTGAAAGAGGTGCACAAGTTGCAGGATATCCGATTTGTTGAGCCTAAAAGATTGATCTTAAAGACAAAACGAGCCTGCATTTGTTCTTCCAAGCCCTCCTTCAGTTCCTGAAACCATTTCTTTACCAAGCCAGACAAAGTATGTGCATCTGCACTATTCGTTATAGATAATAAGGAGAAAAATTGATTCTCCCAGAAAATTATACAAAGATGTGAAGCCCAAGAGTGTACTCATCCATTGAACTAAATGAAGGAGATTTAACCTTTGAAGATCAAATTTATGAAATCAGTCGAGGATATTTGACCTTTATAATCCATCAAGGGCAACATTAACCTCTTTGAACACTCACGAAAGTACTAAGTTTTAGCTGCTTTTAGTATTACATTAACAAGGATCCAAAGACATAAGGAAGGATGCAAAGAAGCACACATGAATAGGAAAGCTTGTCAGAGTATCATTTTTTAGAACTAAATGAGCATTAAAATCATTGTCACTGTTAAGTAGCTTGAATTACCGACAATTTTGTGTCTTATAATCGTAAATGTTATAACCTACAATCAGGAAGAATAGAATTGGCATTTCTGAAATCTTATCTAATAGTTCACTTCCTACCCACTGAAAGCGTTGAGAACAAATTGATCTCTATGGTAACTTAGGTAACAGATTCGATTCTAAGAATCTGTAATATAGAACCAACAAAGATAGCCCTTGCTCAATTAGATAATTTATTATATTTACCCTTGACATAAAATGAAATCACAGTGAACAATTCATCTTAAAGATCCCTATAGGGAAGGATTAAGGAGTATCCATAACCTGGAATGTAGTTTTGAAACGAACAGTTATCAAGATCACCAATCTGCTTCAAGAATTTGTTAATACTTTCAGGAATATCAGCAAGATGACTTGAATTTTGCTCCAAGAAGACAAACTCTACTGATATACAGTTAGCTGCTGCATCCTGTCAGCAAAACCACAAGTTTTCTCAACCAAAAGCTTGCAGCTTAAAAGGTTCATTTTCTGGCCACCGGCAAAACATTACCATTTGTTCATTTTCCTTCTAAATCTAGTAGTGAAACTGAACGACTAAGACATCTAATCATCACTTGAAACACCAGAGAACAAAAGTAGAGTTGATAATGATAGAAATGCAGAGAGTAGATGCCCATACCGTGAGAACCTTTTTGGTAGCAGAGTCCAGGGTTTCAAATATGCAGGAACTGATCAAAACCACCTTTCGAGTAATATCTTTACTATGACCTCCCCATGAGTACAAAATTTTGTCATTTAGGACACTGCTAAGTTTCAAATCTGCAAGCGCCAAAAAGGTGCCCACTCTAATTGTAACAAGAGCGATCAAATCGAATTAAGTGTGCGCATGTAGCAGCACATAAACTTGAATACATTTACATTATAGAAAACTATATATAAAAGAAAACACGAAAGAGTTACCGCTACAACATAGAGCTCCAGAACCGTTGAAATCAGGTAAAAAGGCATCGGAAGGCAAATTGTTCACAGCATGATGGAAATCTCGGAGACTGAAGTTGCCCCGTGGACTATAAGCTACCTTAAGCTGTGTATAACACCACTTATCAGTTTATATGAATATTTTTACAAGTTTACCAGGTAAACATAGTTGTAATTCGCATTTCGGACTAAATATGCATACACTGATGTAAGCATATACTAATTCGTACTAGAAATGGTGAAGAGATACTATGTTTACTTCATCAGTACGTGAGAGTCGATTTTTGAACAAATAGCAAAGTCCAATGCGATCGAGCAGCGGTTTGGATCTCGAACTGCTTGTACTACTAGTCGGTGACGATATCGCGTAGAAATTTGCAAGCTGTAACATCGACTGGTAGAGAAGAGAACATCAATCAGAAATTACAATGATAAGTATGCGATTTCAAGTGAAATTCGAAGATCAATGGAAAAACAGAAAACGCAATGTTTTACACCAGCGAATCATTCAACAGATTGAATTGCCGTATAGAAATTGTACATGCGTAGATGTGGACATCTCACCTGCTTCAAATCGCGAAGCAATGGAGGTGATAAGCTCCGGAGATCCAAGACGAAGCAAATAAACACCATTTTCTGGATTTCTCACTCTTACACGCTACGTGCTCGTTCCTCTTTCACGCTACGTGCTCGTTCCTCTTTCACGCTACGTTTTTCCTCCGCCGCTCGCCTATTTATAAACTGGTTTTGGCGCCTAACCTCTCATCAGCCTTCCTTGGGTTTGTGTTTTTGAGGATTTGTAAATATCAAAATGACTCGATCCTTCAAATAAAGTTCACGTGATCAAAATAATGCCTTCTAATTATAAAATGGTTTAATTAATTATTCCCTCCATTTCAATTTCAATTTTTTTATGGCTTGGCAATAAATTTTAGAAATTATAAAAAGTAAATTCAACATATATTGAATACAACAAAATGTCATTCAATTTGGATTTTAAACAAATTGAAATACAGAAGTATGACCTTTTGAACTAAAGAAGGTATATTTGGATCGGATCTAAGAGAATTGATTTTTTTTTTTTGGGATTAACGATCTTAGAATAAAATGCAAAATTATTTTATTCTGTGTTTGATTAGTAGTAATACTGAATCTCGGGAACCATTTTGTATTAAAATGATGGGATTAACTATACCATATAGAGGGTGGAATAAATAATCGCATAAGATATCTTTATCTAACCGAACGACCCTTTTAACAATTTAATAATAACCTCGTCCACTCATTTAACTCATTTAGTCGAAGACGTATATATAAATGTATCAACTACACTTCTACAAGTACAGAGATATGCTTTGAAAAAATAAAGTTGAGAATATCTTATTTTGTTAAAATGTTCAATTGTCATCCTGGGTGCAGTAGAGATTAACAATTGGGTTAATACCATCCCAGAATAAAACTACCTACAAAAAGAAGTTGCAATTTGCAATTAGCTAAATTAGTTGACACCATTAACAGAGGAAACGAGGCTCTTGTGTTCATTTGGATCAGTAAGAATTTCAGATATGAACTTGATCAAAGAGCAGAGACCCCCCAAGAAGTTATGATCAATTACACCTCTTCCTTCAATAACGTGAGCAAAATCAATTAACTTGATTTGTCCACCTGGATTCTGTCCTTCCAATGCAAGTCCCTTTTCAAACATTATCAGGATTGAGCAAGAATAAAAATGGTACATCGTTTGATCCTCGAACCACGCTTTCATCTCTAGTAGCTGTGATAAAATGCCAGTAGAACCGCCATAAACAGTTGCTGCAAAAGCACAATCTGGTTGCAAGTCCATGTCAGTCGATGTGTTAGAAGAAACAAACTTTTTCAGGATTAACTTGACTTCCTCTGCAGGAAGGTTCTGCATGGAAGTTCTTTCAGGTTTCCAGTAACCAGATTCTCTGTTTCCATAGATTTGTATCCCTGATAGCCTGAATCCTAAGGGAAGGCTCGATGTCTCTCTATCTTTTTTCAAACACTTCTGGATGTACTCCTCAGATGCTTCTGGTGCCCAGGTTCTTGAACCTATTTTAATATCAACAATTGATGGATTGACTCGACCAACAGAGAGATCCTCTAAAACTAAGTGGGGTTTCAACCCAGATCCATCAGATGCCTCTATGAGCTGAGTGCCATAAAAGGTGGGGAAGAATTTGGAGATGTGTTCTAAAATCCTACTGTTAGAAGAGAATGATGTGTAGAATTTGAGCTCATTGGACCCTCGTTCATCGCCTTGGAGAGGCTTGTAGAAACGTCCTGATTCATCCACAAGGGGACCAAGCTTCCCGTTGCCTGCTTGGTGCCCTGCAACTTGGTGGGGAGGGATCTTAAGCATCCTCACAGAAAGTGAAGCACAATATAACAATCAAAATCTCCAATGCAGGCGCCTTTCCTGTGCATTGTAGAAATAAGTTAAGAGTTAAAACCAAAATCTCGACTTTACTGATTACATTATTTTCAACAACGAAGAATTCACATAGATTGAATTTCAATTTCTGGTATAGGTGTTGTTAGATATGACATATTTTGAATTAACTTTCATCATGATCGCCAAGTAATAGCATGGGGAGATATATAATGTGCAGGCCAGTTAAGATTAGGAAGCATTTGCAATGCTCAACATAATCATGACGCACATTGTTAAATAGTCCATTCTTTCAATTTTCCTTTCCTCTATCTTAACTGTGGAATTACATTGGGTATGTTATTGTTGTTCCAATTTTCCTTTCCCCCAATTTCTACAGACAAAGTAGATAAAGAAGCTGCTTGATGAAACCAACTACACAAATCAATGCCCAAAGTGACAATAATAACCGCATCACCAATGCAAAATCCCCAAGTGACTGTAAGCTTGAAAAGCATAGGCTACCCAAGCTCTAGTCTTTCCATCTCCATAGAAATTTTTTGAAATGAGTTAAAATTCTCTGCTTACATCCAAATATCTCTATCAAAATGGACAGTTTTTTCACAAGACAAACAACAGATAGTCATCATACAACCTTTTCTTTTTTCAGAAACATCACCTGTGTGATGCACAGAAAAAACATTTACCACATCCCTTCAAATATTCTAAAATGTTAAAAACAGGGGAAGTTTTTTCTTGGAACAAATATGACTCTAAATTCTCATAATGTTTTTTGTAAGTTGTTATTACATATGTTACCTAATCTCATTCACATCCTAAAAGTAACTAAATTTTCTTATTTGTTTAATAGCATCATATTTCATACACCAAAATTTTGGAGCGTAGGTCATGAGTTCGAGCAGTAGAAGCAACCACTAGTACTTGCATCAGGATGAACATGCGATGCTTTGTGCACCTGACTGTCCTTCCCCTTTACCAAGTGCTTAGATTAGTCATTTCATAAAGGTTAATCACAATCGGGATCTTATGGGTATGTGCATGCTTTTGAGTTTTAATAAGTGTTGGCATATGGAAGAGTTACCCTTCTAGAATGCAAAAACACATGCTAAATAAACCAGATGGCAGATATGTCCCTCATTTCATTATAATAATATAAAACCCCAATTTGTTAACAGAAAAAAGGTAGCGTAAAGTTTAAACAACACAAATCACCAAAACAGAAACATAAATAAACTCAATTCTGCTTATAAAATAAGAAGATCACATCTAAAAAAGCAGAATTAAATGATCTGCATGAAGAACAATAGATATACGCCAAAGATTAAAACGAATTTCACTCAAATGTTAATCCAAATAACAAAATTTCACCAATACAATATCATCGAAAGCTCAAGAGATAAACAAATCTGCAGAATGAAAAAAAAAAAAACCTTAATACTTACAGATTAGAGAATTCAAGCACAGATTGCGTTTCGTATTTTGCTGGAGATCCTTTTATTTAATAAGAAAATGGGATTCCGATTATGGGCACCCTACATGCAATTTATAGTAAATTGAGATAAATTGATGCTTTGGAAATTGCGATTTTCCAGAAAACGTGTCTTTATCGGGAAAAAGGATCTTATTTTGGGTCCTATTAGAGAATCCGCATCCCATGAAATTAGAATCTGATCCTACATGGCTTTTTGCCTTTTTAAAAAATTCTGAAGTATTTAATTATTAATATTTCTCATAAAGTCAAATAAAAGACCTTTCATTTTTTCATAACCAATAGATCTTAACTAACTCCTAACTGTTTTTTTAATTTGCGATTGAAGCATATTCCTTGAATAAAGTCTCAAAAGATGGCTTTTTGTAAGTTTTTTTTTTTCTTTTTTTCTTCTAAGTAATATTTTGACTCCAACAAAGGCGGCCACGTTAATTAAGAGAAATTAGGAACATTGTTGGAAAATTGATGACATTTTGGGACAAAGTCAAAGCAGTGACGGCTTCAAAGAGGATCGATCATTTGAACAAAGGAGAACACCAAGATTTGCTTTGTCCTTTCGTTGTCTTGTTAAAACGTTGAAGCAGCCCTTGTCTGTTCTTTTAATTATGCTGCAATGAGAAAATAAGGAGCTTTAAGGTCTTTGATCAAACAGAATTTTCACATATTATGAATTTCTCAATAACCTCAAAACCTTAAGCAATTAGTAACTTTTTTGTTGTTTTTTCTTGTCATTTTTACTACTCTGTGAGATGTGAGTATCAATATCTAGGAAGGAACTAGTTGACTTTTAAGACTCCATTTCTAAAATTAATTACATATTTGATTCACAAAATTATGTGATAATAATAAAGTACTTCATTGAAGAATTTATATTGTCTTGCTAGGAAATAGTCCATCCTTTTCCAGCGTCAATGCAATTTGAATGAATCTTTTGAATACAAATAAGATCAAAGAGTTTATCTTTTTAAAACTTGTTACTCAACAATAGACTCTTTTGACTTCGACAAAGTCTTAAATTTTAAAATGACCTTAACTATGTCTTGAGTTTTAAAATGACTTCAACTAAGTCTTAGATTTAAAAATGACTTTATCTATGTATTGAATTTTAAAATGACTTTAACTATTTTGCGTAGATTGGAGGTGTTTGACTGAGTGGGAAAAGGAAATCAAATAAACCAATAGAGAAATTGTACCCTTGTTAGGATAGGAGGCAAGTGCAGATCTTAAACCACATTGGTTACTTGTTTTCTCAAAATCAGTATTTTGAACGTTGCATAGGCATCTGGGGATCAAGATGGTATGCAGAAAGAGTAGTTCGGGGGACACAGAGTGTGTGGCAGATTTGCCCAAATAGAAAGCAAAAGATAAAGGAATCGGGCACAAGAGATATTGCCTCACAGTTTAGACATAAAACTTATCACCCAGACACAACGACAAAGAGGCCAGATTATTCAGTCTAATAATTTAATTTTTTTATAAAAATATTTTAAAATGGAAAGCAAGAGAGAACATAGTTTCTCGCACCTCCTGAAGACTATTCTTTCCTAAAGTTACATGTGAACACCACATTTAAGCTATCTCGAACTTTAACCTCTCTATTTCCTTAAGACAGAAATTTGTTTTGTTGGTATGATGGGTGGACTTTAGCCTGAAAAGGCCCCAGGCAATTGCCACCAATCAACACTAATGCAGCATTCACCGTTTCCCAGCAGGTTTCCTAGTAGGGATATCCTCCTCATCTGACTCGACATCTCCATACTCCCACATCGCGCGTCTCTTTTCTCGTGCTTCTGTTTGATGCTTCTCCAATTCATCCAGAGCCTGTTGTTTCTCCTTGGGCTCCCACCTCTTCCTTTTCTCCATCCTAGCAAGTCCTTCCTGAAAATTATGCAGGTCCCTTGTTAGAACACCGCCAGCAACAAAAAAACAAACATAACACTAGATATTTTAAAACCCAACTCAACCAGAAAAAAGAGAGGATAATCTAGGTAAACCTTAAAGTTTTTAATCAATTGGAACGACACAAATGGATTGAACAGCCAAATGCAATGTACTGCTTCTCTACTGTAGTCCAACGAAACAAGTTTGGCGGGGAAGAGGGTAGTGAACAAAAAGAACCTAGTGGCTATAGAAAAACCCATAGAATTCAAAAGCAATAGATATGAGTAAAATAATTATTAATATAAAAGCAGCTATAATTTCGAACCTTGAGCAAAGTAGCATTCACACTGACATCACTTTCAGGATCAACCAAAGTCACCAAAAAGATTGTCCCTGTTCCTTGACCTTTAACCTTTCCACCTGAAGTGTCTTTCTCCTCGATGACAGCTCCAAATTCCTTTGTCCCACTTAGAAGAAGCTCACTTAGCCGGTATGCCGCCTCCTGACCATAATCATCTTCTAGCCCAGGAACTTTAACATGGGCAAGACTACAGAGCTGAGCAAGACCAGGACTGGAGGACACAGATGCTTCAAGAGGCCGCAACTGACTGTACGAAACAACTTCTTGGTTTCCATAATCAACATAGAAAACTTCAAACTTGTCTTTGGAAGATTCCACAGCACCGCGAGGGGCATTGACAATCTTGAACATATTTTGAAGTAGTGAAAAATCAGAAAAAGAATATGATATGACAAGCAAAAATATAACATAATAAATCACTTATATCCTACAGAAGACATGAAACGTCTAAAACCTACAGTAATGACCCAACAGAAATATGCATGCATTGGATTGACTAAAGGAAAAAGGCCTAGCGGACGACTAGATGATCAACGAAGATCGATTCGAGACAAGTGCAGCAGACAAGAGAAGCTCCAAGACGAAGTAATGAATTGTTCAAAGAGCTAGCAACGTTGCATGAACAGGTATATATATAATAGAAATATATATATTTGTGTGTGTGTGTGTATGTGCGCGCGCGCGTAGTACCAAAGAAAACACTAAATTACCTAGCAATGTTTATGTGATGACAAGAAGAGTAGTACAGTTTAAGCAACTAGTTCATTTGATTAATGGAAAAACATATTGTAATTTGCATGATACGTGAAAAAGTAGCAAGTGTAATATTTTGAAGTGAAAAGCAGCAAATTGGAATTTTGAAGATTAACGGTTTGTCCTCATACTAGTAATTCCCATTCAAATTATAGAGTACACAAAGTTAGGGGACTCAGTAATTCAAGTCATATCTTCAACTGTTTAAAGGCTTATGGAACTACATAAATAAAATTAAGTAAGAGATAGAATTATTGGATCACATACCATTGCTCGGTTCCATGAATTATCAGCACTGAATTGAGCAAGAACAGTATCACCCTTCTTGGGATTAAAGGAACCAATTACAGGAGCCTCCTGAAGATTTAGTGAAGCAAGTTGCTTTTGAATGGTGGCTACTTTCTGGTCGGAAACCAGCTGAACGTAAAATTTACCCCCACCCAAAATTTCAGTGACAGTGACCTGAGAACATAAGCGTGTAAAAGTATAGAAGTCAAACAATCATAAGAAGAAATAGTATTCACAATGAATCCAGATGGTAAATAATGACAAACAATTAGGGATGGCAATGGGGCGGGGCGGTTGCGGGGCAAACCCGCTTAAACCCTTTAAGATCTCAACCCGCCCCACTCCACCCCACATAACATATTTTGTTGTTTTCAACCCGCCCCGCCCCGCCCCATCCCACATATTTTGTAAAATCAAATAATAGGCTCAATAAGTTTTCAACTTAAGAAATTAAAATTTTGTTAGCTGTTAATCGCTAAAATTAATATGTTATAACATTATTTTAACATTACAGTTTCTTAGCCATTCAAAACAGTTTACGTAAAGAAATTATTTTAATAAATAATGCTCTATCACTCTTATAACATGTAAGAAGTTAAAATTAAGTTTGAATCCACATGAAATCACATATACCCGCAACCCGCCCTGCATCCCACCCGCCCCGCACAACCTTAAACCCGCCCCGCCCCGCCCCGCATAGCCTTAAACCCACCCAGCCCCGCATCCGCCCCATTGCCATCCCTACGAACAATAACTAACTGAGAAGCACTAGATCTAATTACATTACCTTCACCTCTTCCTTTTGGCGTCTTTCAGCTGCTCCATCACTGACAACTTCCTCTCCCTCGACATAATTCTCCCATATCTATATCGAGGCACTTGTTAATAAATAGTAAAGAACAAATACATGACTAAAAAGTATAACAGATCTTGATCTTGCCTTCAATTTCTGCCTTTTGGCAGCCTGTTCAGCTTGCATGAGGAGGTGAACTTCTGGGATTCTATCAGCTCCAAAAGAAGTTTGAAGCCTTGCTAAACCAGCTTCCAGTAGGGTCACTGCCACATTGGATCTTGATTCCCATAATGTTCCAATGAAAGTCCCTGTTCTATCAACTGTTTCTACCTCGATCTATGTAGAAGGCAATAGGAAAGAAATAAGAGAGATTCATATGTAACACAATACAATGTAAGAAAGAAACAATATTACCTCGACATCTCTCTGCATTATCTTCCGCCTCATCAAGGCAATGGCTTCCTCAGAGTACGGTTCATCACGACCTGGGCATCTCACTCCAGAAATAGAGAAAGCAATGCTGCAAGTCTCCTTGGGAATGAACAGTTTGAATCTATGACCACTGAGGACATACTCTACTACAGCAGACATCCTCCTGTTACGCTGCAAGAAAGGCAAGAAATCTCTAGCTTTCTTTGACGCTGCCTGAAAGTATAACAGAAAGATTAGTTGTTCCCTAGTGTCACATAAAAAGAGACAACCAGTGACAATGATACTAACCGTTAGCAGGTCCGTTACATGCATCACCGGAGCTTCTTTGGGAGAATGAATGCCCTTTTTCCCAGAAGTAGCACGTGATTCCGCTGAGAGAAGCGCATCATAATAGTTTGAACGTTCTTCAAAATCACGATGTCTAACAACAGTTGCAAAACCGCGGGCAACCAAAAGCTCAGCAACATTGACTCCAGCCAACTGGTTGCCAGCAGCAGATGGAGCAGGTGATGCATCATCCCCATCCTTGGATTCCAGGAATACAGTTCCAAAATCCATCACCTTTGAATCTGCACCACTGGTGGGAGCAGCAGGTCCATCTGCCATGCCGACCTTCCGTGAGTACTCCATGGAAACATGCACCTGAAAGGATATAAGGTTAGTAAATCATCCCTTTCTTATTCTGTACCTCTAAAACAAGGAGAGGAGGTATCAGAAAAGATAGCAATACCTGTTTTCCGATAAGACGATTTCTCAAAAACTCCTTTGCTTCACGAGCATAGGGAGCAGGCTTCTCTTCTCTACGAGGATTTCCCATTTTAGGAGACCTAATACTTGAAAGATTGACTCTTCGTTCTGCTGATGGATCTCCAAATGGCAGAGAATCATCAGCTATAACAAGACAATCTCCGCTGACAACCTCAACCACCTACAAAAAGCCAAGCACAAAACATTAGAAGAGAGAAAGGGAGAGGAGAATAAGAAGTTAAACAACCTTTTAACTCATAGCTACCTTTCCAGTGAAATTTTGGTCATGAATAGCCTTGGAATTTGTTGCTGGAGCTACATAGTTCGTCCAGATTCTTAAGCGTGTCTTTTTGGCATCAAGCTCAGCATTTTTCAGCTTCTTCTTGGCTTCACCTTCCAGCATGTTTGCACTCCAATCAACGTATTTAGCATAGCCCTATGCAAAAGGAAAGGGAAGGGCATAAACAATAGATTAGATTGACCTTAAAAGTTCTAAAACCAAAAAAAAAAATGCATTTCCTTTTGTACAATTAGGAGGAACTAGACAGTCACCGTCAAGTAAGTTCACTAATTGAAAATTAGAGATGAGCCTAATAAACAGTCTTTATTCTATAACTTCAATTTCATAAAAGAAAAGTTAAAGTGACGAAAGTTGCGGCTAGAGAAAGTTAATACATTTAGGTGAAAGAGGATCCCTTGCTCATCCACATAAAGGAACCAAGAGATGGTACAAAATGAGAGACAGATAATGCCCACTGAATGTAATGGCAATAAAGACTATGATGGGCAGCACACACTAAATGTACAGGTAATAGAGACTATGATAGGAAACAGGTACATAATGCACACAGATGCATAATATTGAAGACTGCATTTGTACCAACAATGACCAGCAAAAAGAGGGCACTAACTGTGTTACCTAAATGAGATACAAGCCACTTATGTTGAGCATATCAATGCATAAAATTCTGAATTACAGAAAATCTACAAGTAAATAAATAATCTTTACAAGACACAATCAACAAGAAATGCCCATCTATGGTTAAGAAAGTTTCCAATTTCATGGAGAAACGTATCATAAAAAGACACAAAGTAAGCCTGTGTACCAACTGCAGTGACCTTTTAACAGCTTCAGTTTCTTATTAGACACATGTTCTAAAGTATCAAAAGTAGTATGTATATCACGTACATTTTCAATAAGCTCCAATCCCAGGTCCTTTGCGGATTCTCCATCAGGGTAGTACACTGAGCCGATTAGATTGCTATACTTGTCAACACCCTCCAGAACAATTCGAACCTGTATGTTAAACTACATTAGGAAAAGGGTAAATAGGAAATACAAATCATTAAGAGCTAACAAATAGAATCTCACATCTCTATTTAAGACACGAGTTTCAGTAAAATGCTTTGCTTCTCTGCCATAAGGATCAGGAGAAACTTCTGTTACAGATGCTGCT